TTTGTTTGTTTGTTTGTTTGTTTGTTACCGGGGATCAAACTCAGGCCCTCACGCTTTCAAGGCAGGCGGCAGAACCACTGAGCTAAATCCCCAGCCCAAAGGCTCTGGGTTTGATCCCCATCACTGACAAAGTGGAAAAAAAGGAAAAAAAATAGCCAAAATGGACAAATTCCTTGAGGACACAAACTACCAAAGCTCATTCAAGAAGAATAGCCTGAATAATCACACACACACACACACACACACACACACACACACTGTGTTAGATTTTGATTTGTGTTAAAAGTTTTAGTTGTTCCCAAAAAATCTCTAGGCCACATGATTTCACTGGTAAATTCTATCAAATATTTAAAGAAGAAATAACACTAATCCTATACAAACTCAAAAAACTGAAAAGGAAGAAATTCACAAATCATTCTATGAGGCCAGTGTTAACCTGTTACTAAAACAAGACAAAGACATTATAAGAAAAATGATATGGGGCCAGGGATATAGCTCAGTGGCACCATGCTAAGCACAAGGTCCTGAGTTCAATCCCTGGAACCCCAAAAAAAAAGAAAAACAAAAAACAAATACTCTTACAGACCAATTTCCCCCATGGACAGACCCTAAACAATACTTCAAAAATTTTTAGAAAATCAAATTTAACAAAATACAAAAAAAGATAATACAGTATTACCAAGCAGAGTTTCTCCCAGGTATATAAGGTTAGTTTAACATTAGAAAAATCAATATGATTATATGAACAGACCAAAAAAAGAAAAGCCATATGATCTTATCAACAGATGCAGGAAAAAAATGATAAAAATCCAATATGCATTCCTACTTTAAACTCTTAGCAAGGAAGGAACAGAAGAAATTTTTCTCATCCTGACAAAGGGCATCTGTAAAAAAGTCTAACATTCAATCCCCAGTACCAAAAAAAAAGAAAGAAACATCTAACATCTACTTAATGATAAATGACTACTTTGCCCTAAGATCAGAAAAAAGGCAAAAATATCCTGTTACCCCCTTCTATTTAATTAAACTGAAGTCTCTAGTCAATGCAGGAAGGTAAGAAACAGAAATAAAAGGCAACCAGATTAGAAAGGAAAAAGTAAAAATGTCTTTATTCCCAAAGACATGATCATCCTATAGAAAATTCAATGGAATTTTTTTAAAAAGCTACTGGACCTCACATAATTGAGTTTAGCAAAACTGCACACTGCAAGATCAACACACAAAAATCAGTTTTATCCCTATATAAGATTAGCTTTTGTTTTTATTTTTTTTCCCAGTACCAGGGATCAAACTCAGGACCTGTGCTTAGGAGGCAGGCTCAGCACCACTGGTCCTGCCCCTATATAAAAGCAACACACCAGCCTGGGGAGTTAGCTCAGTGGTGCCTGCACCTGCCTCCAAAGCACAAAGGTCCTGCTGGAGATTTAGCTCAGGGGTCCCGCCGCCTGACTCACAAGCGCAAGGACCCAAGTTTGATCCCTGGTACCAGAACTAAATAAATATAAAACATTTCTTTAACAAAAAAATGCACAATGTCCTGAGTTTGATTTTGATCCCTAGTACCAATAAAAAGAAGAAACACACAATTGGGAATTGGAAATATAACACAGAAATATCAAAAAATACTGAGCACTTAAGGATAAATGTAATAAAAGATAGGCAAGACATGTACACAAAAAAACTACAAAACATATCTTAGAGAAATTAAAGAAATACAGAATAGACAGAAGTAGTGTTGCAAGCACAAGGTCCAGAGTTCGATCCCCAGTACCAAAAAAAAAAAAAAAAAGAAACAAATAGGGTTAGCCATGGGCTAACATAGCTAAGTCCATAGCTATATCCATAGCTATGTAGATTAGCTGACAGATCCAACCATTAGATGTCAATGCTTAGAGGGCATGGTGGTGAGTGCCTCTAATCTCAGCACGCGGGAGACTGAGGCAGAAGGATCGAAGACAGCCTGAACTGCACATCGAGACCCTGATTCAAGAAAACAGAACGTGGGGTGGGGATTTAGCTCAGTGGTGCTGCTGCCTGCCTCATAAGCTCAAGGTCCTGAGTTTGATCCCTGGTACCCCCCCCCAAAAAAAAAACAGAACAAAACAAAAAGATGTCAATTCTTGTCAGACATGGTGGCACATGTTTATAATCCCAGCTCCCTGGCAAGCTGAGCCAGGAGTGAAAGTTCAAGCCCAGCTTGGGCCACATAGCAAGACTTTGCCTCAAAATAAAAAAATTTAAAAAGGCTGGGAATGTAGATCGGTGTGAAGGCCGAGTTAAATCCTAACACAAAAAGAAAAAAAAGTCAATCCTCCCCAAATTAATTTATATGCAATTTTAACAGGAAATTGACAAGATAGTTGTAAAATTCATAAGAAAATACAAAGGATCTAGACAGAACAAAGTTGAAGGATTTACACTAAATGATTTCAAGATTTATTATAAAGCTACAGTAATTAAAGAATGGCACTGGTATAAATACAGATAGGGATCAATGGAGAAGTGCTGAGAATCCTGAAACAGACCCTTACATACATAGTCTCAGAAATATCCAAATGTCCTGAGTAATACATCTGGGATGGGGATATAGCTTCGTGGCAGAGCACTTGCCCAGCATGTGCAAAGCCCTGAATTAAATTTCTTACAAAAAGAAAAAAATAAATTGGTACATCTATATAAAGAAAAATATACACCTGATAAAAAGAATAGATAGACCTACATGTACTTCTCTCTCTTTTTTTTTTTTTTTTACTGGGAATTGAACTTGGGTCCTTGTGCTTGCAAGGTAGGGAGCAGAACCACTGAGCTAAATCCCCAGCCCTACATGTACTGACATAAAAGAAAAGCATATATCATGTAGCACTTATGTTTTTTTTTTAAAGTGTGTGTGTGTGTGTGTGTGTGTGTGTGTGTGTGTGTGTGTGTGTTTGAAAAGATCTGGAAGGGCTGGGCATGGTGGTACACGCCTATAAAACCAGCAATCAGGAGGCTGAGGCAGGAGGATCTCAGTGAGTTCAAGTCAGTCTGGGCTACATAGTGAGTTCAAGGCCACATGAGCTACATAGTGAGGCCCTGTTTTAAAAAAAACAAATGATAACAACAACAAAAAAGACCTGGAAGTAACGTTCCAATTAACAGTAATCATTCTTGGGAAAGGAAGTAGAGTAAAAGATGTCATATATCACTGTCTGCCTCGCAAGCACAAAGTCCCAAGTTTGATCCCCCATACAAAAAAAAAAAAAAAAAAAAAAATTT